AAAAGAGGGAGGGAAGGGAAGAACAGTTACCTGCCGTTCTGAAACAGCTGCTCCAGACTCCCCCCAGGGTTAAGGTGGATGGTGCAGTGCCTGTCAGAGCCTCCGCGGGGCGCCTGAGAGTGCATTTCTACCAGGCTGGCGGTGGTGCCTAGTGCTGCTCTAACCAACCTCTGAGGCCTCTTCCAGCCGTGAAATCACATTTTTCCACTTCAGTCAGATAACTATCCTGTGTGATTCACAAATTAGCTAACAAAGGGCAAGAGCAACTCAACCGTCTCACTTCCACATAAATTGAATTGTTTCATGTATTTTCATTTTCTTCTCCCAACTGGACTCCCAATTCTCACTTGCCTTATACACTAACAGTTCATACAGTCATTAACAGTAACACACATTCAGTAGACAACAAACCTTTTTAAATGAAATTACAACGCAGGACTAAGGTTTCCACAGAGAGCTCCAGAATACAGAGAACTGGATGCCCTCTGAAACCTCTCTGCTGGAGGGCCCGGGCTCTCCTGCACAGAGGGTAAGTGATCAGAAACACAAACTCCTCTCCCCTTCCCACCTAGTCAGCCCAGCCACCCGTGCTTCCTGGCTTTCCACAATGTCAGCAGAATTCCTCTGATAGCTGCTGGGTAAAAAAATCAAAGAAACATGATCCATTCAGACTACCGGTGCTCCTTCCTACTTGGGACGTTTCTCGCGTCTGTTTTGTTTTGGTTTTCAGCTTTAATATACAGTGTCTGCTGCCATCTGGTGGTGGTTTCAAGCAGGTGCAGGCTATCAACTATGGTCGATAACACATCCCACGGCGTAACATTTCTCTTCTCAGACCCGTGGGTAAGGCATGAGTCTATATTAAGATTCCCAGATGACTGAAGTTTCGAGAAAATACTTAACCTGTCACTTAAAATTCTGAGCTGCAGCAGTGTGCAAGAGGTGAATTGAGGATAAATATCCCACTGTGACAGTGGCCCATCGTGGAACTTTATCTAAATCTTAACTTCCTGTTCTATGACATTCCAATGTTGATGCTACCATCTTTCCAGCCCGTTGTGAGGATTCAATGGAGATGCATGTTAGTGCTTGAAGCAGTGCGTGGCGTTTAGTTACAAACCCTCCATATAGCCCGGTTAATGTTGAAGATGATGGTGATGCGAGTTCGTTGTTTTCAACTCCAGGCCCAACCCAGACCATTTAAATCAGAATTTCCAGATACCCAGGCCCACTCTCCGGAGATTCTGGTTTAACTGGCCCTTGCAGAAGGAGGGGCCAGGCCAAGCCAGGTAGTTGGTGGGCAGGGCATCAAATGATTCTCATGAAAGCCACTGCCGTCAGTGACCCACGAGAAAGCCCCATGTTTATCTGCAGGTCCCCATAGACAGTGAGGCAATGTACTTCAGGAATGTTTGCTGTGGAGAGAGTACAGGGGGAAACGAGGGGAGAAGCAACCCGGTTCCTCATCTATTTACCACAATCCTGATGGGAGGATGAAGTGCCAAGGGTGGATGGCTCATCAGAGTTGCCGATTACAGCCTGGGAAGACTTCTGAGCTTGTGGGACTTTTAGCTGCTCTCTGAGGGAATTCTCCAGAGAGAAAACAGAGGTAAAGAGACCGTGAAAGAAAAGGTTTCGTTTCAGCTCCAGCACCAAGAGCTGAGCTATCCCCCTCCCCACGGCCTCGGTCCCCACACCTTTTCCCTAACACGCAGACATAGCACCGGCACAACGGAGATGCGCCCAGTAGGCCTGGCTCAATTTCCCAGTATGACCTGCATCTATGTCACGTACCCAACTCCTAGTTAGTTGCTTTCATAGAAATTTGGTAAACGCGCTACTGTAACAGGTTCATTGTTCTCGTTTTTCAATTTAATTTTTAGGATTCAGTATTTAGTATCCTTGCCATCTTGGAATGCAAATTCCTTAAGTACCTACAATGCCTGCTTAGTTTTGAACACTAATAGTTGTGGCCATGCATACTGAGCCCTGTGTTCCGGGTACTTTGAGAAGCTAAATGATAAACCAATGCAAGTCTGTGAAGCAGAGATGACCTTGCTCCAGACACATGTGTGTGCCAGTTTGCGCACTTCTTCATAGAGGTATTATTAGAGCCCGAATGAAGACAGCAAGGCTGACATTAAAGGGATATCCAGACTGAGCTTTTAAAAGGAGGGGCACAATAAAAACGATATCGTGCATGTATGTCTTTAAGCACGTGTATATTATGTATGTAAATAAGTACAAAATATTCGGAAAGATAATGTTAAGCAATAGCTCCCTGTGGGGAGAGAGAAAGAACTACTAGAGATTATATCAGGCATGAAAACAAACTCACTTTGTCTCTATGTACCTCCGTAATGTTTGCGTTTTTGTAATGAGCCATGAGCCCAGAAGGTTTATCATTTTTTGAAGTGTTAGGAAGAGTAGTCAGAACCCTAACAAGTGGATCGATATATTGTCTTTCACTACAATCCCTACAAACACATTTATTTGAGCAGTGTGAACATAAAGGTTCGGTTGCACATATGCTCACATAATATATTCTTGTGGGCAGCATGTATACATATATAGAGTGTATGTGATATGTATGGGCATACGTGTCAGGTTGTGGTATATATATGAATGTGGTGTGTGTATATACACGTGCACAAAGTTATTTTGGGCTTATGTGTTGTTACAGTCTATGAAAATACATAAAACATCCTATTAAAATAAAGTTTAGCTTGGAACCTCCTAGAACATTTCACATACCATTAAAGATTCTTGCTGACATTTTCCAAAGTTAAGTTGATGCATTATTTTGCTTTGCATTTATCTAACTTCCACTGAAACAACATAGATAAATCTCTTTTTTTTTAAGATTTTTTTTTCCTATAGAGAACATGTGCTAGAGAGACAGAAAGCAAGAAATCACTCCCCCAGGGGGTGCCATGCCACAATCCTTTCTCCTCCATTCTCCTCTTGGGATTTTGGACATGCATGCACACACACCCAGCGTCAGTGTCAAACCACCAGGTCCAGGACTCAAACCACAACTGGCCATATGAAGAGTCCAGCAACATAATCATTATGCCATCTGCTGGTCCCATAGATAAATATCTTATGTAACCAGAAACTGTTCAACCAGAGCATATTCAGATGTGATAAGTCTTTGGGAAGAAAATAAATACAGTATTTCATTTATTTGGCCTGAAGGCCACTTAGAAATCATATCAAATTCTTAGCTCTAAACCCTCCTCTAATATAGTTCTATAATGTGGTGTCTAATTTGACAATAATTCTGTTCTGTTTGTTTTAGGTTTTTGCTATATAGGGCATGTTCATTCACTGGAGAGAGAGACAGAGAGGAAAAGTGAGAAATCACCTCCCCAAGGGGTATGACCATGCCACAATCCCTTCTCCATTCTCCCCTTGGGATTTGGGTACAAATGCACACACTCAATTTTCAAGCTGCTGGGTCCAGGACTCAAATTGCAGTCTGTCATGTGGAAATCCAGCACTTTAACCACCACGCCAGCTGCTGACCCTCTGTATTGCATTTTAGTTTGCTCATTGTAAATTAAATTTGAATACAACTTTTTAAAATAGTGTAAGAAGAGGATTTATGTTCCTTGGCTTTGGCAAATAGCCCTGTAATTTAAACACATATTCAATGAAACACGATTCCAACATGACAGGAGAATTGCAATAATCTTTATGGAATTACCCATTCCACATGGGTGATCTCTTGAATACATAGAACAGTTGTCACTAGGGGCAAGAGGGGAGGACAGGAAATGGGGTGTTATTGGTTAAGGTTACAAAGTTATATTTCCACAGAATGAATAGAGATCTAATATACAGCATAATGAGTATACTGTATTATAAACTGAAAATTATAAAGGGTGGCTTTCTAGCACACTCACCATTTTTTTAAAACTGTAACAATGTGAGAAGATATGTATGAAATTTGGCTGTAGTATCTATGAGGGGGTCTTCAACAAGTTCATGGACAATGGATATTAAAATATTATGCACGAATTTTAAAATATTTTTGCACTAAAATAAACTTAATTCCATTTTCCACAAATTTTTCTGAACTTCCTTTATATCTGAATATGAAAACATCCTGTTGGATACCTTAAATGCCAATAAAATTGAAAAATAAATTGGTGAACTTTATGGTATATAAATTAAAGCTCCATAAAACTATAAAATTTTCAGGGCCAGTAGGTGGCAGAGTGGTTAAGGCACTGGACTCCCACAAGGCCAACCACAGTTCGGGTCCAGACGCCGTAGCTGGAAACTCACACCAGCTTTTGTGCGTGCATGCCCAGAATCCTGAGAGAATGGAGGAGAAGGGATTGCAGGGTGGCCATCCCCCCTGGGAGTGATTTCTCACTCTCTGTCTCTCTGTCTCCAGAGAGCACATGTGCCCTATAGCAAAAAATCTCTAAAAAAAAAAATGTTTTTTTTTCATTTCATCTTAAAAAGATATAGGACAAGGCCTAAGGACAAGGCAGCTGGATCCTACTTGGCCAATCAAGGTTCAAATTCCTACCAGGCCACTCAGAAAGCATACCAGACACATGTGGGTGTGTGCACTAAATCCCAAAAGCAGGGAGAGTGGAGGAGAAGAGATTGCAGTGTGTCCATGCCCTGTGTGCGGGAACAGGGAAGGATGCTTTCTCCTCTCCCTCTCCCTCTCTGTATGGTGCAAGCACCCTCTAGCCATAAATAAATAAATAAATAAATAAACAAACAAACAAACAGACAGAGACAGATAGATAGATAATGGGGGGAGGGGTGGAGGCAGTAATCTCTACACAAAACAAAAAGGTGTTTCTTTGACTGATGGCTTCCTTATTTCTAACAATATGGCAAATCTCCAGCATCCAGGGCAAGAGAAGGCCCTGGATCACAGTCTGCCATGGTGAGATCTTCCCTGGACCACTCCCTGGAACCCCCACGGCCCCCACTGCCCAGGCTGCACCAACTTGTGTCTGTTCTTCCCACAGGAGGACTACAACCAGCTGAGGCCACTCTCCTACCCCAACACAGATGTGTTTTTGATCTGCTTCTCCGTTGTAAATCCAGCCTCTTACCACAACGTACAGGAGGAATGGGTCCCAGAGCTGAAGGACTGCATGCCACATGTGCCTTACGTCCTCATAGGGACCCAGGTTAATGGGGGGCAAGGGCAGGGCGGGCAGGCTGCAAAACAGAAAAGACAATCTAGGTACCCCATGAACCTGGTCTATGAAACGCTATGCAAGGGGTCTCAGACATAGCAATCCTATACACAGAATGACGTTCTTCACAGTAACAGGGTGAGGCTGTCAACTGTACCTATTACCTAACTACTTTGATATCTGAAATCCATGATTGCTTTTAAATTACAGAACAGATGTGAGTGTCAAAACAGCCCAGCAATCAGAGTGGGCATATTGCCACAGAAACTCCTTAATAACACTTCCAGAGAAGGAAGACAGAAATTCACCCTTCTCTATTCTGTTTAGAACCTCTTCATTTTCCAGATCTTAGAAGTTAAAACAGACATTCCAGATAAACAAACACACGCTACTGCAGATGCCTTTAAAGTGTGTTGAAAGCTAATACATTTCCCGTTTGCATTTGCAGCAGTAAGTCAGTCACACAAACATATTAAAGGTTGTTCCAACTTTTTGTAGTTTTAAATGGATTTTGTTCTTTGCTATTTTAGAATCCAAATTACTATTCCAAAGACATAGGAATGTAATAATACCGAAGGGATTTATTGGTATCTGTTTCATACGTTGCATCTTTGTATTTCTCATTTTTACATTCTGTTTGACAAAGATGCTCTTGTAAAAAACACAAAGGAAAAAAAGATATTTCCTGAAGAAGATATGGATAGATACAGAGTAGCTCTGTTTACTCAAATAGAAGAACTCACATATCCATAATGCAATTAATGCTTCTGCTCTGTAAGATAATTGTTTAAGTGAAGTCGTTTGCCTTTAATTCCAAATAGTAATGTTTGCTCACATTGATGGAGCCTGGATCCCTGACATTAAAACACTTTTGTCGGAACCAACAGTTAGCATAATGACTATGTCATTGAACTCCCATGTAGTCGAACACGGTTCAAGTCCCAGACCCGGTGGCTTAAATTCATGCTGGGCGTGTGGGCATGCATGCCCAAGATCCCGAGAAGAGAATGGAGGAGAACAGATTGCGG